TTTGATAAAGGGTTGAAGTCTCAACTAGTGAAATCACATCTATTGGGTGAAAATCACATCTATGGGAGGACTTGACAAGTGACAAGTGCTGCTTGTTCCCGTGAAAATGCTTGTAAGCCAAGGTCACTGCAGCTGTTGATGATGGCAGGCAATTGCATTGCTGAACGCAAGGTGCTTCCATTGATTTCCATTGTCTCGACCTCTTCAGACCGTGGTCGATTTTCGCACTGGCCTCTCTGGTTGCTGTAACTAGCGGCTAGTAGCGATGCCCATTGTTCCTAGTAGCGCCCTTGCTCCTAGTAGTAAGGCCAGGAGCTACTAGTAGCGTCCTTGCTACTAGTAGCGATGCCCTTTGTTACTAGTTCGATTTTCAAGCAGGTCCATGGGTGAACTTAGCGAACATTGAACTCTCATCGGCAAATCTGTTCGGCCAGGATCGGCGAGGCCTGTTCGGCTGTTTGCACATCGTTCTCCGCGACTGTGCACAAGATGAGGCCTACTCTGTCGGGATGCCGGCAGAGTTCATCAAGAGCGGTGGTAAAGTATCGGAAGATGTTGAAAGATGAGTTTGAAGAAAGGACACAAAATCTACAGATTCCAAGCGTATCGGAAAACACGGAACGTCTGAAGATATTGTAGACTTTTGATTGGAAGCTTTGCCCGTTTACGGCCGCATGGCAGGCCGAGTGCAGGAGCATTATTTTTGACAAAGAGGCATGCCTGATGTCACGCAAACATATATTCCTTCAGGTGAATTTAGGGGTTTCAATGTGTTCGTGTTGACAAGTGACTAGCCACATATTCTTTTCCGGCAAACAGGATGAGGTTAATGCTGAGACAGATCAACATGCCGAGGCCGGTGCATTTTTGAGCTGGCCGAAAACACTGATAGAATTTGTTGGCTCAGGTGGCAACATGATACATACTGTACTGTACTTGTTTTTGATGCGAAAACCAAGCGAGGCGATGCAAAAGCGCAACGACATCCGAAAGTCCATCGAAATCTCCTTTGAGGTGGGAGCCTAAAGCAGATGCTCAATTTGTATCCATTTGTGAGTTAAGCAGCTCTTGGATCACCAAGCTGTGACGCACTCCTCAGATCTCCTCAGTTCACTGACTCCATTGGCAGGACACCATGAGTTGACCGTTCCTCCAATGATCGTAATGATGTGAATGCCGCAGAGAATTTCGATTACATTCAATGTTTAATTTGTCCAATATTTGTACCATTTGGTTCCCTTCGTGACTGAGAGATCAAACCATGTTCAACCTGCGCCAGGCAGCGCCCAAGGCCAGCCTTGCGGCAACTGCACTTGGATGTGATGTTTGCCTTTAAATGCATTCTCTTCCATTTGGGTACAAAGATCACCACAGTTGACTACACACCAATCTTGCAGTTGTTGATCATCCACAAGTCACGCCATTGACCAACGATTGACCAACTGTGCAGGTGTGGTGTGTGCCCAAGCTAGCGGAGGAGCTGAAGTGGGGCTTTGACCGTCTCCACAACTGTGCAACCAGGGTAGTCCATCCTGTAAGAAAGCCGGGTATGCTGTTGGTGATTGATTACTATAAACACATTGTGCAGATTTGTGCAGAACTTTTCGCTTTTTCTGAGGCGCTTTCTTCAGGATGTGTGCAACTAGTGCTCGCAAGGATGTGGCTCCAGATGACTACACGAAGGCCAACAGGAAAGGCTTTCCTGACAAGATCGATGAAATCCGTGCTACACTCAACTGTCCAACTGTCAGTGAACGTGTACAGTGTACAGCGATGGACAGCACGCATGCACACAAATTCCTTTGTTTTTTCACATAACTTTTGCATTGTGTGAAGGGTCATCCTTGTGTGCATTCCACTACGAAACGGCAGGCCTTGAGGCCACTATAGCTTTTTTGTTTTGTTGTTGTTTGTCTTTTTTACTATATTGTAGTCATGTTGGGTGGAATGATGTTTTGTGCAAAGCAAGAGGTAAACCAGCTTTGCGTAAAAGGACAGTTGTACAAGTGGTCAGCTGCCACAGGTTTTTGGTGTCAGTCATCTTGTAGAACTGCATGCTCTATCCAAGAACCATTGTGTAGTGCTGCATTTTTCTTGGAACCTCAGGACATGTGGGGGGAAGGGTGTCGGGCAAATCATTGAGAGTTTGCCGATGGATTCTGCAGATTGAAGCTTTGGTTTCCATCCCGGCACTGTGAGCACAGTTGTTTGCCTTGAAGGGGCCCTTCTGTAACTGAGAGGCCCAAGGCCACGCATTTTGTACTAGTAACTAGCATCATTTTGTACAGTAAGTGACTTTGTGACACCTTGCCAAGCAGAAGGGAAGGGGTTGAGGAGATACTGCTGCACCACAAGCGATACACCAAGATAACGTCAGACTACAAATGGCCTCCTCTGACTATCTCAGAAATTACAACACGGCAAGTTTTAGGGCAGCTCTTCAAAATGCCCGGCTCTGGGCCTGTCAGATATAGAAGGACCCCTTCAAGCTTGGATGCTTTTGAAAGATAACTTTTCACATTGTAGATGCATTTCTTGGAGATGCTTTCACTTCGTGCCAAAGTGGGCCTCCCTCAAATGATCTACAAATGGGCTTCCAAGGTCACCCCGTTATGCACAAGGGATGAAGGGAGTGAGATCTAGGGTTTGTATGGCATGGGATGAGATACAAGCGAAACGAAGCCAAAACAGACAACTTGCAGAACAGCTTTTGCGCGTCCTCACGCACTTAAGGCAACACTGTCGCTCAACAGCTTTCGGTGCGCGTCTAAGAGCGTTGAGAATGTGACGGCCTGCGTTGTACGTGTCCAAGGAACCGAAGCTTCTAAACGGAAGGCCGCCATGAGCTCAGTACTGCCCCGATGTTTTTTTCATAGCCATAAGCTATCATATGCTATCATAAGCTCCACAGTTTGGGCAGATCTCCCTTATCGCCTCCGTGGCCAAAAATCCAAGCACCTGCTACGACCAGAAGTGCGAACTGCACTAAGGTTTTTTTGTTTTTAACTATGTTTTTTTACTTTATATATATATATTTAACATTATATATATATATATTGGCTTTTGGTGTTTCAAACGTTTCCCAGCATCGGAATGCAAGAGGCTTTGCCTTTGAGGTTGACTGGAAGCGTCATTGCGGCACTGATGCCAGAGCTAGCAGAGGCAATGAGGAGATGATGCGCCAAAGAGCAGAGTTTTTGCATCTCTGGTCACCTTTCTACACGGTAATGGACCCAATAATTATTGGGAGAAAGCGGCGGCGCCATTCAATTCATTGTGCAGTAGAGGATAGCAAACAGCCATCAATGCAACTTTGTGCTGTTAGCTGCCTTCCGAGATTGGCTTCGTAGATTAGATAAGTGACGGAATATTTTGTTGTATTCGCACTTGTTTGTTCCTTAGCTGTTGATTAACGATGTCTGAAGCAGCTGTTGAGAGTGGCTATTTGCTCCTGCGAGCAAAGCACAGGAATCATCACAACCTTTATAGGTCTTAATTACATCCTTTGTTCACGTGCCGGGTAAGTATCGCCAACTTGGACTTGAAACCTACAGTTGTACGTTTACTAACCTACTAGTAACCCTTGTCTTAAGTCTCTCAGCACTTAGTCTGACTAAGTCAAATAAGCCAAACTCGGACCGAACCTAAGTCCGACATAGTCCAAGCTATGTCTAAGGTGAGTCCAGGCATATGATTGATTGACAGTGTCACACATAGTTGTCCCTTTAAGACAAAGGTAAAAGGGAAACCTGTCAGAAAATTTCCTGACACACATTTCCCTCATGACTAAAGCAAAGAGAAAAACTGTCAGACAATCTTCCGACACATATTCCCTTTAGAATTTACAAAACAACTGTCACAAGACTTAGCTGGGACTAGCTTAGACAGGCTTAGACTTAGCTTGGACTTAGGTTGGACTCAGCTCGGACTTAGTAAGTCCAACCTAAGTTCAACCTAAGTCTAATGCAAGTCCACGCAAAGTTTACCTTAGTTAAGTCCTAGCTACTTTAGGCTTAGCTAGACTATGCTAGCCTTAACTAGCGGTCGACCCACAAGTAGTTCATCTTCACCTGCTGGGTGAAAGACATCTGGCAGCTGCAAATCATGTTGCGTTCCACTGTACAAACCCTCAAGTCACAACATCCCCTTCAGAAGAATTGGATTGTCATGTATAAAACTTGTTTTGAACAAAAACGGTTGTTTTGCACCAGGGGTGGCGCTGATTTGTTAGATGTTATTCCAAAACCTTTGGGCGGTCGCAGGAGCAATGAGCCTGCACTGAACCCTCCCAGCCTGGTCGATCGCGTGGCAGCCATACAGGCGACCCGGGGGGGGCAGCCATGCCCTGAAGATGTGCAGAGACAGATTCTGGTGACGAGGGCAGTCCATTCTTCAAGGACGTGACTGACTAGGGGCTCCTGGCATCGCTACCAGGAGCAAGGATGCTACTACAGTAGGGGTTCCTGGCATCGCTACTAGGAGCATTCTTACTATTAGTAACAAGAAACTGCCCTCGTGTGTGCTTTACCGCCAGTGGCTTCTTGATTCGAGGTGCAAAGAACAACAGAGGAGCTGTTTGAAAAGGCTGGCAAGGACCTGGAGGGCTTGATGACCCTTGCAGTAGAATTGTACCAACATAATTTGCTGCGCGGCTCAAAACTCTGTGGTGAGTGCAAAGCAGACTGCCCAGATCGATCCACGCGGATCGATTCGTCGCAAAGTTCTGGCTCTAGGCGGTCGTCGCTGCTAGGTTCTCATCTCGCCTCGGTACACCCAAGCAACACCATGGCTATGCGAGGCAAACGTTATTTTTTGCCCGGGGGGTATATACTAGAGGTAGAGAGTCGGTAGCTAGTAATTAGGGAGAGGTAGCTAGTAGCTAAAGAACTCTACTACATATGGACGTAGGATAGTTCATGCTTCTTCAAAGAAGCATGGTGGGGCTAGCTTCCTTGAAGAAGCGCTCGCACTAATGATTGGGGAAGCGGCAATCCGTGCGCGGTGCCGCAGGTCACAGCGATGACTCGCAATCTTCAGTATTTCAATCCGGGGCCAGGTACAAGCAGATGCCCCTTGTCAATCAACATGTTTTTTTCCGTAGATCTTCAGGCCATCAATGTCTACTGCTAAGGCATGCTAAGTATGTTTGCTATGCTCACAAGATTTGGACAGTCCTGCGTCCAAGGATGTCTCAATCCACACTTCCGTGCACTCTTGAATGGAGACTTGCCGCCATGATGTCAGCACCAAAAGAAGACGATAAAATCGATTTTACAGGCTTTCTTATTCTTGGTTCTTTTCCTTGCCTCGGAGCGCAGAGTCAATGCTTGCAACAGCTCCCTTGTACTCTAAGAATCTGAACATGGAAGTATGCGTATTAGTATTGACCCTGTAGAGATTTGATTTGCCCTTGATTTGTGGCAACCACTTGTTTTGAGTGTGTGTGTGTGTTTGAGACCTTTGTAAGGATGGAAAACAGCTTTGGCTTGGTGCAGTCCGAATCTATGGATCTACAAAACGATCCGCGGTTCTTCCAAGCGAATGTCTTGAACAAAAGGCACCCATGACATGAGCTGCAGAATGAAAGCACTTGAAGATGATCAAACTCGAAGTCTAGCCTGATTAGGAAGCAGGACATGACATGGCAGGACGTTTTATGATGTTTTGGTCTTTGCTGTAATTCTGCAGACATCTCCATAATATCCTTTGCACATTGCAATTTCTAAAGCTACTAGTATCAAGTAGGTTGGAGGCCATCGCTACTAGTAACAAGAAGCTACTAGATGCGAGGCTTGCAGCTTTCTCCAAGCTTGGCGTCGTCTCCTCACTGATGGCCGGTTTTCTCAGAGCGCTTTCAGAACACTTCGTGAATCGGTCTTAGCGAATGGACCCCTTAGCACCACCGTCCTGGGAAGAACCTTGGATCTTTTTTTTAAAGCAAGTGCATTTTGATCACCGTGGACATCCGTGGACATTCCTGGACCATTTCGATCCCTTTGGCCAGTTTAGTATAATTATTATTAGAATGTTTATTTTAGTCAGGCACTGCACTTGCAAGAGTTTCGACTTAAGCCCTAAATATAACGTTGCTCTTGAATTGCATAAATTAACGCTGCAATTTCAGGTGGCCACGTGCACTCATGTGGTCTCTATGAAGAGCTTTGGCACCCAATATTACTGTAAGTCAGTGCATATACATTTGCGCCTATTTGCACAATTGGTTTGATTGCTGGCAATCATTTTTGCTCGTTGGAAGTCAAGCATGCACCTGAAATGTGAAGTAACAGATAAAGAAAAGTTGCCAATAGAAACGAGTTGAAATGAGATTGCCTAGCAGCCTATAAGTGGTGTGACCAGTGGGGAATTTGATATCTCACAATTCTTCAGCTAATTCATACATGATTAAGACCTATTGAATTCAACAAAGCAGCACATGTGCTTCTTCCCTGCCGTGTTCAGCCAACTAGTTGCCCCTGCAAGCCCTCCAAGGAAGCAGCTAAATTTTGTGACTGTGGAAGGCCACTGGCTGAGCCAAACAGCTTGCACGTTTTCGCTGATTGCTTCACTCAGTCACTGACTCTAATATTTGCTTGTAGGAGTCATAGATGCGTTTGCATGTTTGGTACATTTTGGGATGGTTCAAACGCCCACCATCATGATTGTCAGGGTGGCTTCGCTGCCTGAGTTTTGCCTTGATGCACCGAGCTCAGAGCTTGTGAATAACGTATTTACTGTAAACGCGATATGAGTTCTTGACATGTCGTCCAAACAAAACAGAAGGGTCCCATGAGCACATAGACAACGCTCAGGAGCACAGTGCTGTTCCTGAACATTATTGCGGTCTATGCTTCTCGACCGCAGCAACACTTATTATACACTGCATCCATCAAAGCAAAGCCTTCGGCCTAATGGAGCGAATTCGAGCATTCCCCTAATGTCGTGACTGCTGTCTTGCAGTGTTTGTTCTCAGGTTGGAATTGCGCAGACTTACCACACGTGCCTCAAGCTTGCTTAAATGGCGATAGGACCTGGGAACCGCTGCATTTGCAGGATGAATGTACTAAATGTTGAGCGCACCTCACCTGAATAGTATTATGCGCGTATGCGTACGGCGTATGGCTCAAAAAAGCTGCACACCCCAACACGCATGGGTCGAAGTGACAGTACATAACCAAAACCAGTGGATCCTTTGGCCTTCCTATTTGAGTCACAGAAGACAGACTTTTGTCCATGTCCAGCAATTTCAGCAATTTGTTGTGCAACTCTTTAGAGACACCATTGGTGCTGTGGGAGGTACCGACTGGAAACTGCTGGCCCCACGGGATTTGAGATTGTGACTCGAAAAGCACAGTGGTCCAACCTGCAGAACTCTGAATGGTGTGAAGTGTGATAATCAGGTTATGTGACTCTGGTTGTTGAAGCTAGCCTATGCAAACCAGGCGACATCCTACTATTTGAATGCCAACATTGTGGCATCTTGGACTGCATGGGCCGGCACAGTGCGTCCACAACTAAACGTCTTTGTTGCCTTTTTCGAGCAGAGACCAAAATAAAGTAATGAACATCAACGCAACGTGACTCAATTCCGTCACAACTGCACATTCCCACTCCGATTACGAAGCACATCTAGCAGTCTTTGTGCTTGATTGGTATCCATCTCTATATTCAGTTGATGCACATTGAGATAATAGACAGAACAAGATGTGTACAAAATCAGTTTATAGACCCATAAAGGGTAGAAAAGGAAACGTATCAGTGTGTGTGTGTGTGGGAAAAAGAGACAAACGGCCAGAAAGAAACCAAAAAGCAAACATGTGGAGACCTCACCGGTTTTTCCCCGAAGGCATGGAGGCACTTCGCAGTGCTGCTCCCAGATGCAATGGGAAACTGCACGGCAGAGTCTTTGCGGAGCGAACTTCCTTTTGCAGTTCATTTTCTATAGAAACAGCAATTTCATTGTTCAGTTGCAGGACATTGGAGGGTTTGTCATGTTTTGCACTGATGTGACACAGCTTATTGTGCTATGAGAGGTGACTGCTACTGGATCACGGATGTTCTGCTCTGCAGGATATGTTTCGGAACCAAGGTAAAGTGCTTGCTGAACGGTCTGACGATCTTCCTGATTTCGACTGGCATACGTGCTTCAGAAGCACCTGTTGGTTTTGGTCACCTCCTTGAAGGATTCCTAAGCCTAAGTGCTCCGAGTACGCGAGTCCAAGAACACATGCATTCTGATTTGCACATTTTGCGGCTTCAGTCTTCGCTCCTTTTCAAACATATCCGAAAGCCAATGTGTATTTACAGTAAACACAGCAAAGAGGAGACACATCTGCTCGACACAGGTCGAAAATGGACACACGACGTCATAGACTGAAACGACTGTGCACTGAGGCGTTTCAGTCAGCTTTGAGGAACTGTCGGAGGAGGAGACGATGGAGACCATGTCATGACCATGGGGATCCATGGGGCGTTCAAGCACCAGCATTCGGCAGGAAAGCGTGCTTGGTAAATAGCACCGGAAGCACATATCAGAATATATCACCATCCTTAGGTTTCACGATTTTGTGATACTTCGAATCTGTGGGCGATTCACCCGCCACAAATGTTTATGTGTGAATATGTTTGTATGCACACCTGGTACTACATAGGGGACTTGAGACCCAGAATCGGACTCTGCAAGAGCACGTGAAAGGCAGAAAAACACTCTCCAGCAAAGCGGCGCAAGAGCGTCAAACACAAAAGGTTGGGCTCGATCGTACGAAGCGGCACGGCACACAAAGCACCGATTCATGGCAGGCGCCCGTCGGCACCAAGCTCAGGTCGTGAGCTAGAAAAAAGGGCCCCCTGAGCCAACAAACACAGTCATGGTGGAGTATGGTGTGGTTTCCATGTCTTCCATGCAGGACCTCATGACTGAATCCGTTGCACGGGGAAAAGAGGACATCAGTGATCGGTCCTCAGGGATCACTGAAGCTACAGGCTCAGGCGGCTCAGGCATCATCTCAAAAGCGGTCGCCGAACACAGCGCATCAGCTTGCCGAAGAGCTCTGTCCCAGGGGTCTATGGCTTGACCTGGTTGGACTTGGCGCAGTTCCTGCAGTTGGCGAGCGATGCCTCTGGCTTTTGTTCAGTAAGCATGAGATCGACCCGGTGACCTCTACACCTGCCTTGCTCGGTGCAATGGGCGGTCACGTGACTTCCACAGGGTCGGCAACAACAAGTCGCCTGAATGGATTGAGATCTGCCAAAAGATCGACAGCGCAGCGCTTACCAATGGGGAACGATCAAACGACGATCGTGTCACCATGCTGGAACAGACCTCAACACCATCGACCAGGCTGATGGCACCTTCCGCATCGAAATTGACCAGGATGCCTGCATTGAGGGCATCCCTGACTTAGAAGTGTCAGTGCAGCGCCTTCGAACTCCTGATCAGGCACTCACGCCTCAAGAGATTGCCTCATGCCGAACGGCACTTGGATCGCTCCAGTGGTTGGCCATCCAAACTCAAACAACTGTGCTCAAGATGCAACATCCTCCTGACGGAGATCTTGGTTGAAGGCACCACCACTCATGCAAGAGAGATCCAAAACATGATCAGTGAAGTTCGAGTACAACCTCAACGGCTTCGCTTCTTTCGCCCTCCCAAAATGAAGCACTGGTCCGGCGTCATCGCCATCACCATGGGGACCAGGCCCACAGCAACCGGCCAAAGGGTGACAGCACAGGAGGCATGATCACGCTCCTTGCTGGACCTGACAGCCTGTCAGGCGATGTGACGCCCATGGTCCTTCTGACATGGAAGACCTGGAAGTTGAAGCGAAAGGCCATTGCCTCCAACGACGCAGAGGTCCAAGCTGTGCTCGAGTCAGAAGACAACAACTTTAGAGCACGCCTCCTCTGGTCGGAGATCAATGGAGCTGGACTTCACCATAGAGATCTTCGACGTGATCTGGTGGAATCCTCCGAGCTCCAGGCCATGAAGGTCAAGGGGTTGGTCTGCACCAACAGAGACCCAACGAGAGCCCGCTTCTCGGCCTCACCAACATGAGGGCGGCGCTCCAAGCCTTCCAGCTTCGCGAGAACTTGCGAAGGTGTGGAAGCACGCTGCGATGGCTTGCGTCTGACTATGACCTGGCCGACTCGATGACAAAGAAGAAGGGCGACAGCCGCGAAGGGATCCTCAAGTTCATGGCCACTTGGCACTGGACGATCGCCTACGATCCCAACTTCGTGGAGGCCACAAAAGAAGCTTGGCCTGACCGCCGTCGACCAGATCGAAGCGGTTGCACAGAATGCGAAGGAGAGCATCTTGAGGCAGTCCCATGGCCTCCTTGAGTTCGCAACACCTGATTTCCAGAGACGTTGATCGGCCTCGGTTGGCTGAGTTTGCAGGAAGGCGGTTGCAAGGTCAATGCCGCAGATCTGGATTGGTTGACGACAGAGAGGAAGTAGAGCAGTGATCGCCCAAGTCCGCTTTGGACAGGTGCAGCCGTCTTGAAGTTCCTGTCTGTTAAGCGGGCCTTTGCCTTCTTGGTGCCCTGCGGATTGATCACCGTCTCGGGGTTGTTGCGACTGTCGCTCAAAGCTTCATCCCGTTCATCGGGCGCTATATGGGCTTCCAAGTGAGAACCCATCTGGCCTTGAGGATTCTGCCACTGCCATAGGCCTCGCGGATCTCCGCATCATCAAGGCACTTGCGGACAGCACCGTTCTTGGGGAAGGAGTTGACTTCCTTCATTTTGGCGCGCTGGAAGAGGACGACCTCAAGGTTGCTCAAGCGCTGCAGGGGCACTTCTGAGTTGTTCAGTTTCTTGGCCATGTAGAGGACGGGGTTCCGAAGGGGTGCCATGACCAAGACGTCCAAATCATCTTGACATTCGGTGAGGTAGCTGAAGACTTCATTGTTATCAATTTCGGAGTGAGATTTCAGCTCCTCCACCCATTTCAGATCATACTCACTGCGAGCTCTTTTGGGATCTCTCTCTGAAGGCTGTGGATCATCTTCAGGAGGTTCATCAGCAGCGGTATCAGGTAGACTAGGTGTGCAGTCTTCATAGTCATAGTCATTGGCTGTTTCCTCAGCCTCTGGTAGGGCCGAGTTGGAAGGCCGCCGTGCCGAGCTCGAAGCGTGAGCGGGAGGTTTAAAGTGTTGTACTTCATGATCTGGAGGTTGTAGTCCCAATGGGCTGCTGCGGTGTTTCGACCGGTAGTCGGAGGGCTGCAGTGTGGACTGCCAGTAGCTCGTCGTTTTGGAGCCTTGGTCGAAGGATCTGGAGAGAACGGAGGGTTCGGGACTTCAATCTCATCCTGCTTGGGGAGCTCATCCAAAATGTCACTGACCTCTCGCTTGGGCAGGATATTTGCCAGAGATTTCCACTTTGTGGGATCTTCATCAGCCGTCATCTCATACTGGAGGCGTTTGACCTTGGTCACTGGCCGGACGTTGTGGACTGAGCATCTGTAGATGCGGCTTCCAATGACCGCCCAGAGGATGTGTCGACGTGGATCACCTTCTTCTTGGTGAGGGAGTACTTCTTGAAAAGCAACTCTGCCAGGGCCAACCCAGTGAGGTCGTCCAGATTCCTCTTGTTCCCATTCATCACCATCTGGAGGAAGGTCGAAGTCCAGGGCCCAGGGCTGCTGGATGCCATTCTTCTCCTCATAGAGGCGGATGATCGCCTCGCTGAACTCGGCGTAGCATAGAGCCTCTCTGACAAGGAAGCTTTGCGTGTTCTCTCTCCACTGTTCTTGAAACTGAAGTACTGCTGGCAGATCGCGGCTGCGTTGGGCAGCGATTGCCACACCAGTGGAGAGGATGCCAACCTGCGCAAGAAATCTCGAGTTCCGCCAGCATGCATGGTCGAAGCTGACGGAGGTCCATGACATTGCAAGCAACCTTGCAGGGCTGGTCAGGCGTCCCACAAGGCGATGAGCGCAGTATTGCCTTTTGTGTGTTGGCGGGGGTCGGACATACCAGCTCACTTCGCGATGGTATTTCCTCCACGTCCTCGCACTTCCATCCCAGGATGGGATATGGTGGGCGGAATCTGTCGGCACCAAGCTCAGGTCGTGAGCTAGAGAAAAGGTGCCCCTGAGCCCACAAACGCAGTCATGGTGGAGTATGGTGTGGTTTCCATGTCTTCCATGCAGGACCTCATGACTGAATCCGTTGCACACTCCTTGGTTTTTTCGCGGTGTTGACATGAGAGCAGTTTGTGAAAGAGTCGACCATACCCTACCGATGTGTCAATCATGAGAATCTGGCATGTTCAATCATGTTCAGTCAATAGCTTTCATCCAGCTTCGTTCATCTACACTTATGATTTGATATCGCCATTCGTCTCATTTCCCCATTTCCCTACTTGCACATGTTCATGGACCTGAGTTTGCCTCGCCCTTGACCGTGACCTGGAGGAAATCCCCAAGATCTCACCACATGCAGCTCATTTGATGGGTGTGATTGTTCTGTCGCCGCTTATCTGAGCTTTGGTGAGGTGAAAAAGGCTGTCACCTTCGTCAGATTGAGAGGAATTGAACAACTACGGCTGAGAAGGATCCACAAAGTCAGTGAAGCCGGACACTGCCACAACAGGGCTCTGTCGAGCATAATATATGCATATGTAATCATATGTAATCATGCATATGTATATATGCTGTATGCACATATCCTGTCACTTGGGCCACCTTGGGTCCTATTGAACAAATTCCGGATTAAGCAACTACGACTATATATATTATCTATTAAATTGTTAAAAACCATGCTAAACCATTATTCAGACACTTGGGGTCCTTGGTTGAACCTGTCACCTCACCTGAACACTTGTGCATAAGGTGCTTTGTGGTCGGAGGACTGACTGATGAAAGACATGAGATGTATGCATTTTGTGAAATTGTGTGTTCTTTCCTGAGTCCTGTTAAAGCCATGAACCGGTTATTTTCAGCATGCTGCTGCTGAGATGTTTTTACAGGATTGATCATGCACTACATTCACCTGAAGCACCAAGAAGCTTTGCAAAATTGTTGGTTGCAAGAGCAGAAACTGATCGTGGGCGGTTCCCTATCCTCGTGCTGCCGCTTTCTCCTAGGCTGTCTTCCGTGCCAACTACGAGCTGGCAAAGGAGCCATGGTGGCTTTAAGCCCGTGCTGTCTTGGTTTGTGCCATGTACGGATCCATGTACCGGGTTCCGATTGCATTACCACATCATGTTGAGGAACTTGCAAGATGCTATCCGTTGACTTCGAATTTGTAGCATGTTTCTGATCCAATTGGTCACCCTGCAAGTGCTTTCGACCTCAAACCATCACACAGACATTTTGTTACTTGCAATCATTTACATGCAGGCAATCCCGTGATGCACAGAGAGCTGTTTCGCACACGGCCATTCAAAAGAATACAACAAATCGATGTGTTTGTCCTTCCAAACCTTTGCACACTCTTCAGAAGGAAGAATTTTGGGTGGTGGCGATTGTGGGGGTGTAAATGTCTTCGGAGTTTAAACATTTTTTTTTAAATATACCTTTTGTAGCACTGTTTCTCATCGGAACGTAGTCTGAAGAGATCTGAAAAACCTAGCTGGACAGGGTAATTTTAAGATGTTTCTTGCACATTTTTAAGTCCGAAGTTGTTGGAGAACACATATATCATGACGTTCACAGGGCCAATGGTTTTGCCTCCTTTCTCCACCGAACGGGACTGCCAGGAGTCAGAGAGACCATACATGGAGGTGGTAGCTTGGATTATGGCAAGAGACAGGTCCAGTGTTCATGTTTGCTTCGCATATCGCAAGAGGTATACAACGCTCAGGAGGAGGCCATCCAATTTGTAAAGACGTGACCAAGACAATGGTTCTACTCCACTCCATTGTGAGGTATGCTAAGATTTTAATATTTTTGATTGGTACTTACATTTTCCCTCCAGTGTGTAGGAGAAGAGTCACATGTTACACATTCGCAAATGGTCACCTGAATTTGTTGTGGAGAGCCAGAGCGGCAAAACCTTCTTCACCCGGAGGGGCGTTGAATACTGAGGTCCATAACATCTCAAAGCGCTCCAAAATGGGTAATAGTCCGATCACGCCAGATGTTTGAGCACCGTGACTGCACTAGCATGCAAGAGTGCCTTAGGCTTGGTTGTTGAATGTAGTGGCGGCAACACTTCAGGGTTGCTCGACTCTGGCTTGCACCCCTTTGCGATGCAGCGTAAGCTATGTAACTAGAACGGGGTGCTCCTTTCATTTGTTTGATTGAGACATATTGATTCACTGTGTTGAATAATATATGTGTAAGTTTATTTCTTCATCCAACTCTTCTGATGATAGCATGCTTGTTCATTCACCAAACGAAGATTGAGCATTGGTGGCCCGCTCTCATCTCAGGACAAGTTGCCGAACAAACCAGATCCTGGGACCAGACATGAGACATCAGTCAGTTTCACCAAATACTTGCAGCAGAGACGACTTCCAAAGCTTTGCTCAAGTTGCATTGCTTCGGGCCCACTCAAAACCTGCTGCAAGGCATTTTGAAGCCTCTTGTGCGTGTGCAGGTGTGCAGGGAAGGGTCTGTCCGTTTAAGGCTACTTCCTCCATCACCATTTAGGTCAAACGAACATGTGCCCTTTGGCTGATCGTTACTGTTCCTCGTAATGCTGAAGGTATTTGCGAGGTATCGAGCATGCATTCAATATCCTGAAATGTCGATGTTGGCATGACAGGTTAATTCAGTTTGCATTGTAGATACTCCAAAGTGACAAGAATGCAGACAGGTGCTACTGTACAGACTTGTATCAGACTTGTTCTGAGTACGGCAAGTTCAACAATTGAACGGCAGCTCATACTCCAAATTTTGAAGTATGTAGGGCCTGAGAGCCGAGATGGTGTGAGGTCACGCCCCCCCATGACCAGAAGTCCGGAAAAGGCAATGATGCTGGGGAACGGGGTGCTTGGGAACGACGGAAAGAAGAGCCCGCCCAACATCCGCATATAAACGGAGCAAGGACGCTACTAGGAGCAAAGGGCATCGCATATTTCACAGTCGTCGACCCGTCGATCATCATGGAAAATACGAAGAGCTTTGCAGGCACGCCTGACCTTGTCCTCAGGACTCAGAGGTGATTCTGACTAAGCTGCCCATGCACACGCAGCAGCTGGACAAGGAGTGGAATGCGGAAGAACCATGAACCATGAAACATATACTTTGCACGTTGCATCTGCCCCGAACGAAGCCGAAGCCCCATTGGAAAGAATGGAATAAGGCCCATATTGTGGTCAAATGAATCAAGAGATTCATTGAAGACACCTGTGAGGCGGTTCGATAAGAGTAGCTGCCATGATTGTTCTCATCAAGAGGTTCATCCCACGAACTCCAGGAGCTGGCAGCGCTTCAAAGTCATGTAAGTCTGGAGTTTTCTTCCAGATTGAAAGCCTTTTTTGCACCTGTGCGGAGCCCAGAGGGCTTTGACTCTTCAACTTTGGCAGTGAAAGCACAGCCTTACGCTCAGGCTGACAGTACTGCAGAAGCAGCCAGTGATGAGCTAAAGCAGAAGGCAGAAGATTATCTCTGAAGGGCTCCTAGTAGCGATGTCCCTTATTCCTTAGTAGCGTCCTTGCTCCTAGTAGTAAGGCCAGGATCCCCTAGTAGCGCAGGAGCCTCTAGTAGCGTCCTTGCTCCTAGTAGCGATGCCAGGAGCCCCTAGTAGCGTCCTTGCTCCTAGTAGCGATGCCAGGAGCCCGTAGTAGCGTCCTTGCTCCTAGTAGCGATGCCAGGAGCCCCTAGTAGCGCCCTTGCTCCTAGTAGCGATGCCAGGAGCCCCTAGTAGCATCCTTGCTCCTAGTAGCGTCTTTTTGTATTTGGACTTTTGATACTGGTTCGCGTGTTTTGAAACAAGCCATGACGCCAAATTATTCAGATTCACTCTTGAGGTTTCGGATATGAACCAGTGAACCCACAAGCACTAAAACAACTAGTAGGCGCTGACAAAGATGTCAAGCTTTCAGTCGGGACAACAGAATATTTTTGCGCCCGCACATCCATTCTTTTGAGGAGTTGACAGATGCACTGTATACTGTACAGGTGTGTCGGGGAAAAAACAGATTCCTTCCAAGCAGGCAGAGTGAACCCTTTTGGTAACTTCCATAAGATGTTGAAGAAGCTCGGATCCCCTTTGGTTCCAAGAAGGGTTCCTCCGGTGAATGTGCGCAGGTTGACACTCTTTGCCAGTCGCTTCAGTTGAAGAACACTGCTTCTAAGTTGCACGTGGACAACCTGATGCAGTTCGTGGCATCTAAAGCATGGCATCCGCAAATTTCATTCGTGGATTCAGACCACGGAAGAAGGCTTCAAATTGGAAAGGAATGAAATGAAAGGACAATACTAATAGTACATATAGGATCATATAGGAATACGTGATGACATGTTTCATTTAGGTAGATCCGTTTGCCTCATCGAAGCAGTTGTTTCCTTCGGCAAGACAAGCTCAGGAATTGCTGGTCCAACTGGCCGACAAGGCCTGAAAACGAGCGAAGACGTGACAAAAGAGAGCCATCGGAAATTGCGTCAGAAGTTGTGACCCATTTGGTTCTGGACCGTTTATCCTGGCATCGTAGTCGTAACCTATTGAATAGCGTTTGCTTTGGCTTGCGACTGGCCAGATACTCAAAGAAGAGCGAACCAAAGCGGAAAGGATGTTTGGAGCAGTGACCTCACAGTTTAACTGTTTGCCGCTGCCGCTGATCACAATTCCTGCACATGTTTCTTTGGTTTAAGGCAATTTGCTTGCCGTTGGCGAGTCGCGATCTAGAAGCGAAGCTGGATTTGGCTAAGGCGCCGCTTTGCTGTGGTTTGGCTAAGACTCTTGCAGCATATTATATGTACAGTAAAATGTTTATATAAGATGATATATTTGTTCATACAAAGGAGGCGTTTCACAAGGACCTCAGCTGAATTGCTGGCTGGCAGAGAAACTAAGAGGAACTCAGACCATGAAAAACAGATCGAGAGTCAGATCGAGTCATCGAAACCTGTTCAAGATAGATGTTCGAAAGTCAGGAGGAGGTCTTGGGAGCGCTGGATGACAGTGACGGCCTCGGAATCGACTGAGTGTTGTGGCTTCTTCGGCGTCGCGTCGACGGAAGATCCGAGGATGGAGGTCATCTCTAGTAGGTTGGAGGCCATCGCCACTAAAAGCAAGAAGCTAAGGGCATCGCTACTAGGAGCAAGGACGCTACTAGGGGCTCCTGGCCTTACTACTAGGAGCAAGGACGCTACTAGGTTGGAGGCCATCCTCGGTTTCTTCGGAAGATCCGAGGCCTGGAGATGTTGACCCCGGAGCTCGCAGAGCTCACCAAGAGAGGCGGAGTGATGTGGGTTGCGTGGAGTGCTAGGTTTCAGGAAAACCAGAATGGCTGAGAGCTGATATTGGAAGTTCTCCAAAGAGTTTGGTTTCAACACCTTACTGCTTACATGGGAGATCATAAGTTATATTGAGATCCCTGAGCACATCAATGATTTGCTGAATTTCTGCTTGGGAGTCTTCAATTGATTTCAATTGTGCAAAAGCTAGACATCAGCTCACACTCTGGCATGTTCCAATATGTTCCAATATTGTTCCGCAGAAGCGGAGTGTCCACCACATTCATCCAACGGCCTCCCAGCCGAAGGCGTTTGTGGCCACATTTTTGACCTGCTGGAGGACGGTCTTCTTGGCCTCACTGTTCTCAGGATCGGACTATACTTGGATTGTAGAAGGAGATTCAACAATTTCCCGCATGTCCCGAGGGCTTAATGTTGATTGTTTTGCAGATAATTACAGCTCGATGATGTTTTGTGTTGTATCATATCTATTTGTTAAATGTTTTCAAGGAGAAGCGCAGTGTGAACAAGATGGAGCTCCGTCGGAGGCCGCTTACATGGTATTATGATCTTTGAGTGAGTCAGACAAGCACCGCGTTGATCATCGTTTAAAGGAGTGTAATTACTACTGTTCTACAGGAATACGCTTGTGATTCGATTCTCGTCCGTTAATTTGATTTCCCCGCCAAATTGAGGGATATAGAAGCCGCCGGCTATTGTGACCATCCGATTGCTTCGATCACGGGCAAGGCATTGCTCATTTATGGAGCAATGTACAACCATAGTGACGTGTGATCCGTCGTGCACAGTTTAACTTAACAGCTGTAACTGTTGCCTTGTTTGGATTGGTTGGTCAGCTGCCATGCGTACCAATGTTGAAAGCAATATATATATATATATCATTTTACAAGCTACTAGGAACACAGGGCATCGTTAGTAGGAACAAGAAGCTGCTAGTATCTACTAGTAACAAGGGCATCGCTAGTAAGAGCAAGGATCGCATCACGGATCAAGACGTTGCTGTCACTCTCCCTTGTTCCAGTGCTGCCTCCGAAAAAAATATTAACTGCATTGGACCGGCACGTTGATGTGCTTCTGTTTTGCAACATCATCAGTTGTTTTTAAATGTTTTGTGCAATCAATCTTGCCTACGGCAGTCATTCTTGTGAGTTAGACTTGTATCCACGCTCTGACTGGTGTACGGAGCTAACTTGAACGAGCAGTAGAGCTGCTCAGATAGAAGCTCATGTAAGCTCTTTCCAGCAGCTTTTGGTTTTATACCGCACTTTGATTTGAGGCGTGCTTTATCAGTCACATTGGTTTAATGGCTTGGTCTAGGGAACGGAACCGCGATAAAAATTATCACCTGTCTAGACAGCTGAGATAGAGGGACATATTCCGCGGACTGTCAAGGATTTTTTGCTTAAAATACATCGTGCATTGCCTGCATCGCAGCTGAAACGTCGTGCCGCCCGTCTCAAGGCGCTCCAGGTTGGCCACGCTCAGCATTGGACCTCTTCTGACTTTGGCAGTGGCTGCGTTGGCCATTTTCATGGCAGGCCAGAAATCAAACACAGTCACCAATCAGACTTCAACGGAAAAGTGCCGTGCGTGCCGGAGTGACAAACCCCTGTTTGAATTGCTTTGAATGATGGCCAGGCCAAGACATTGAAGTAATCCCTGTTGGCCCATGTTGGCCCTTTAAGAACTACTAGCAGCTTCTTGTTCCTAGTAGTAAGGCCAGGAGCTACTAGTAGCGTCCTTGCTCCTAGTAGCGATGCCCTTTTTTCCTAGTAGCGTCCTCTTGTCCCTAGTGTAGTTGGCCCATGTTGGCCATGCCAGGAGATGTTGCAGAATGCACGCAGCTTGCGGCATCTGGAGGTGCGCACGCGACAAAGGAATGCAGCCTGTGACGTCCCAATCTGATGAATCGGAGAATCGGGAGATCTTTGTAGTTGCGTCTTGACGAAGGCAATCCATGGTTGAACCCACGCTGTTGGCGGCACCTTCCACAGGCTCGAACCATGTGGTGAGTTCTTTTGGAGATTGCGGGATGGACCAATTTCACAGATAAATTTGTGGAATTGGCGATTGGCGAGCAGCTGAAATAGCGCGGGCGCAGTTTGTTCTGCGAGCCATTATTTTTTGCCACACTTGCAGGTCAGCCAGCAGAAGGCCAACCTGGCTTGTTGGAAGCAATGTCTTGACAGAAAAAGTGCTGATTAGACTGCAGACCAGACATATATATCTTGACACATTCTTGACACTTTTGCAACTTTATACATTCAAATGATTTCAAATAAATGTATGCCCCCCAGAATAGGAGCAGGAAAGCGAAGCGCGCCGAGCCGCAGCTTTAGAAGAAGAACGCCGAGCTGAAGAGGCTATCTGAAGAACGCATTTTATTTGGAAATTCGGTCAGCTGCCGCATGAGAGGAGTCCCCATTCCAGATCCTAGAGGCTCATAGAAGCTCTCGTTTGTCAAAATCATAGTTGATATTGTGTATTGCTTTGCGTCGACCCTCGTTGAGGATGTTTTAGACTCGTTTTACTCGTACCATGCTATGTCGTAACAACACAGCTGATGTCATTTATCAACCGTGACAGAGCTTGAATGCGCAGGAGGCAGAGAAAGAAGAGGAGTGTGCAGC